CTACCCCAACGTTCCTGTCGACAAAGGTATCGAGGCGGTCTTAGACCTATGGGACGAGCATTACGCTATTGATCCCGAACCTATTCCACGCCATATGCTCGAACTCGCATTAGAAGTTGCCTTAAATAACCTTATCGTCCAATTTGGCGAACAAACGTACAAACAAACCCGTGGCTTAGCCATGGGCGTAGCGTGCTCCCCCGATGTTGCAAACTTATTCGGGCATTTCCATGAAGCGCTCATTGTACCTAATCTTAACAAATTACTGTTCTATAGACGGTATATAGATGACGTGTTCGCATTAGTCGAAGCTAATTCAGAAATAGAAGCGTATAATTATATGCGCGATAATCTTGTTTTAGAAGGCTGCCAAATCGGTTGGGAAGTCTCTCAGCATCACGCTGTATTTTTAGACATGTTTGTGTATCGTGATCCATTCACTAACAACGTAGAACACATGCCTTATCGTAAGAGACTAAACCATTTCGAACGAATCCCCTGGGACTCAGCACACCCATATGACGTGAAGAAAGGCACGTTCATAGGTGAGCTAAGCCGCCTAGCCACTTTGTCCAGTAAAATAGAATACTACCGGACCGCGATCTCAGATCTATGCTGTGTTTACATATCGCGAGGCTATCCGGCATCGGTTATTAATAACTGGTCTAGACAGTACGCTACCAAAAAATGGGAAGCACGTCTATTGACAAGAGCGGTATCAGAGGATCCCATTCTTGTAGTCAAAACCGAATTTAATACCGCATGGGATTGGTTCAGCATTAAAAGCTTAGAGGATACCATTATGCATAAGCTAAATCGTTATAGGAACGATTTCGTGTCCGGTGTGTATGGGACGCAAAACACACCGGTGTACCAAGATAGATTGACCGAATGGCTCGTGCCCGCTCACGCTCCGGCTCCTGACGTACTCGAACATCTGGGCCTCCCACGGGAAGCACTTTTGATTAGGGACGTTAGTGTAGTAGGCGGCGTTAAAGCCGAGTCGGCCGCGATATTAGATCTTGGCAATTATGTAATGGGAAATGCAAGGTGGCTTGTATCGCGCAAAAGAACACAAAATTTTGCCGATCTAGCATCACTCTGGAGAAATTCCCTCCTCAAAATAGCATTAGAACAGGACGATTTTATTCCTCCTGTTGAAATATAGATATACACTTAGCGTGCGCGCCACAGCGAAGCCCTACGGAGGGTCCCTAAGTGCAGGTAACGCAACCATACGAACGAGGGTGAAGCTAAGTTCGAAAGTCCTCTCCGTCCGGCGGGTTTCCTCCGGGAGATTTGCCTTGCTTTAATGCAAAGGATGGCGGGCTAAGTGGTGAATTGACATCGACCAGAAGGGAGCTACTCCTACTGGGTTCAGTCATGCGCGTATGTTTACGCAACTTGTGCTGGCGGGCACTGTGCATAGTGGAGGTAACGGCTCCCGATGTGTGGTGACTTCCTATAAAGCTTAGCGCCGGAAAAGCGGCGCGGGTAGAAATCTATATATATTCTTTATCTAATTTTAATGCTTCGGACACTTTTAATATTGTCTTTATACGTATGCGGTCATTTTTACGATATGACGCTAGGAGCCAGAGATGGCTGTACGGAACTGATCGGTTCCCGTACATGGCTTTTTCAAGGAAGCCCCCCTAAGCCTAACTAACTTAACCTAACTTCCTAAGCCCTAACCCTAACTAGCCTAACCGCCTTACGGTCTAACTAACCGTTGTTTAAAAATACGTAACGTTATTAATAGTTCTTCTATTCGTAATCAGGTCCTTGTGACAGATGTCACGTGACCGGTTGTCGTTCCGATATTTGTTTATGGAACTTCTATTACGTAATAGGTCTAGACCTTCGGTCCAGACTCGGATCAAACTATTTTTGCCTCTTACTCATTGTAGATTGTGTACGCCTGTTTACCTTTTTATAGAGTTTGACATCTGTGAGAGATTTTTAATGGCGGCCTTCGGCCACCTGCTGCGGCACTAAAAATACTTTTAGGCTTATTAACGTTGATAACATTATTAGACATGATACGATACTTCTTATCTTCGATAAACCTTCGTACTCAGACACATACTCCTCTCGAATATGTGTGTCCCCTCCTATTTAACCAGCTAGAAAACTGATGAGAGTACCATACTCGAAATACCACCTCAGACTACCTAGTAGCCGGGGGTATTTTTTCTAGTTTATCTCTTCAGTTACTTGTGCGCCCACCAGCGTTTTTACCCCCTAACTAACCCTAACTAACCCTAACTAACCTAACTAACCCTAACTAACTAACTAACTAACCCTAACCCTAACTAACCCTAACTAACTAACCTACTTAGATAACATGCCAAAGTATTACTAATAGTAGACTTAAACTGCAAGAAGATCGAGGCCCAACGGGAAATCACTGAATTTTTTGAATTGTCCAACTCTGTCATGAGATATGTCATGACTTTGGCATCTGGTGCTGTATGATGTTCTGCGAGCTCTGTCACCACTTTGGGTCTCTGTCGAAAACTACCATATCTGTGAAGAAATCTGGTTTTGTGAACTCCTCGTGGTAATCTAGGTTCTCAGACATCCATTGCTATGTGCCAACAGCTCAAATTTCTCGCACAGAATTATGTCGCACTATAGTTCTGATAGAATGGGCAGCATGGCAGACAAGGATTGGCGATTTATAAACAGGCAAACTTAAAATGCATGTAACGACAACGACGATGACGAGGAGCAAAAAGAAGGAAGATACTGGACTGTTGTAAACCTCTTTGGGCGAATCCAGGTCAAAACTTCACTTAGACCTCCTGGAACGTCCACATCTGCTTTGGGTCACTTTCGTCCAAGACAGCAAGCTTGATCTACCAAATACAAACCATAAGTTATTCTGTCCGTCGCATAATGAGCTTGAAACCATACCTGGGTGTAATTGTGTGGGAGTTGCTTCAAGTGACGAAACTGAGGAGGTCGCCATCAAATACGACGACCTTTATATACTGGGGGATAGTCATGAGTTCAAGCTCAGTCAAAACTCAAGATGGACATCCAGGTATTACAAAAACTCATCTGGCATCTATACAAGCATCAAGTCGGTTATTCCTCAAATCCGGAGTCTACTCGCATTTCAGAAATCTCCTAGATACCATGGATCTTGTACCTCCAATTTGATTTGTCCATTTCCAATAGTTTCTTATCTTGCTTATTTTCAGGCCACTTTCTTTTTTCAAGGAAAGTAGTTTCTCATTCAATAACAAGCACCCTGACTCATTCAAAACACACGATGACATGCAGATACTACTCCACATACTCATCTGAATCTTCAAATTCGCTTATTGCTCGAGAAAAGTCAAAAATAAGCAAGGTAAGAAACTATTGGAAATGGACATATCAAATTGGAGGTACGAGATCCATGTTATCTAGGAGATGTCTGAAATGCGAGTAGACTCCAGATTTGAGGAATGACCGACCAGGCGCTGGTATGGATGCCAGATGAGTTTTTGTAGTACGTGCATCATGTGCATGTCCCTGTGAGTTGTGACCGAGCTAGTGTACTTAGTATTGAAATATAGATAGGATATGCACTACATATATCCTCCAGAACCAAAACACAGCAGAAGCGAAAATCAGTAGCCCCTTCTCCCAAGCATTACAGCTCAAGAATACTCTGCCATTACAGGCTAGAGGGAGTGGCACCACACGAAATGCACCAAAAAATGAGGCTGGCAGACCAGCAAGGACATGCACTACCAAGAATGACAACATAAACGACACTAGTGGATGAAAATCAACACGTACTGCCAAAATACACAAAGAAAATGAAGAGCTGACCAACAAAGACATGTACTACCAAAAATGACATCAAAAACAAGACAAGCAGATCAACAAGGACATGTACTACCGAAACCGACACGAACAATAAGAAAAGAAAACCAACGCCTCTTTCTTGCTCTATTCCTCCTTCTATTTACGCATTTTGTCTTTCATGTTGTCTCATTCCTCCTTGTCATTTTTACAGTTTATCCCATCTCTCTAGCTCTCATTCCTTCTTTTATTTTCCTGTTGTATTTCCTTTTGATATCATTCCTCCTGTCATTTTCACATCGTACCTCTCTCTAGCTCTCATTTCTTGTTTTATTTTCACATGTTGGCCTTTCTAAGTGACTCTCGTCCCTCCTTTCAGTTTCACACTTATATATTTCGCATTTTCGCATCTCTTGCTCTTTCTTGCTCTAATTCCTTCTTTTATTTTCCTGTTTTATTGTCTTTTGATGTCATTCTGTCTTTTGACGTCATTCCTCATGTCATCTTCACATTTCACATCTCTCTAGGTCTCATTTCTTGTTTTATTTTCGCACTTGGCCTTTCTTTTGAGCTCTGACTCCTCCTTTCAGCTTCACACTTTATATTTTGCATTTTGCCACTCTCTTAGATATGTAGTCGGTAGTCTACAAGTGTGTATGTATGAGACGGTTTAAATCATTATTCAGAGATACTACCTGAAGCCAGCTGGAGACAGGGAAGGCTCAGCAAATACCAGCAGTGACGTCTTTGGAATTGGAGCATCCCACTGCTGGTCAGTATTGATACGAACTGAAATGATGGTTACCTTGCATTTGACACGAGGGATGGTTTCCTTTTGAGAGCAGGGACGGTTGCCTTTTCAGAGCAGGGACGCAGGGATGGTTTCCTTTTGAGAGCAGGGACGGTTGCCTTTTAAGAACAGGGACGCAGGGACGGTTGCCTTTTGAGAGCAGGGACGCAGGGATGGTTGCGCCCCGTGGGAATAAAAGGAAGCAGGGACGCAGGGACGGTTACATACATCTTAAATGAAAAACGGAAGGTGTGAGGTAAGGGATTACCATTTCCGACCAAAAAAGCGGCAGATGGGAAAAAAGGAAGCAGGGACGCCCCATATAAGGAAGGAGCAGGGACGGGGACGGTTTACACCCCCCTAAACCCAGAAACAGATAGATAGGGGAAAGCGGAGAGTGGAACTCGCCATGCTACTTGATGACATCAAGGCTGAAGGTAGCGATCTGAAAGGCAAGTACTCACCATCATGGCATATTGGTTATGTGTGCGCAGAGGAGAAGGTGTCAAAGGCCGAAAGAGAGGGGAAGGTGAAATTTGAGAGTGCCCGCTATATGAACTATAGGCGGTAGCGACTTCCTGCCAGGCATTTTAAACACCAGGTGAATAATCAGGCCCATGGACACAACAGAAAAATCAAACCCATTGTCCGTCATAAATTCAATCTGGTGATCTGTGTGGACTTGAATGGGCCAAGAATGGGAACACAGGGTGTCGACCAGAGACATGGAGAAAAGCAACAGCGAGAATGCTTAGGAGCGTCCACACAGTCAAATACTCCACATTCACAACACGGTGTCAACAATCAGCCAGAAGAAGATTCAACAGGACCGTCCAAAAGACATGGTGCAGGTCAATATCGCTTTCGACAAACTTCCAGGAGATGACAAATGAGCATTCAGGAGGCAGGTTACATCAACGGCAGACTGAGGGGGAAACCCCTTGCACCGCTCCAGAGATGTCATCTCTGACCATTACGACAAAGATATGATGCACAATGGTAACAATCGAGAGGAACTCACCATGCTACTTGATGACATCAAGACCGAAGGTAACCATCTAAAAAGTAAGTACTCACCATCAATGGCATGTTTGATATTTAGGCGCAGCAGATAAAGTGTTGAAGGCGGCAAGAAAGGGGCAGATGAATTTGGGAGTGCATGCTATGAGAAGTATAGCTTGAGGTGACCTTCGCCTGCATTTCTGAGAAGAGAAGGTGAATATTAAGGCCCATGGACATCTCAGTCAAGCCAACCCAATGTGCATCATAAATTCAATCCAGTGACGTGTGTCGACTGAAATGGTCCGCCCTCCCCACCGTGGCCAAGGAGGCAATGACGACACCACCTCCCCACTTATGTGTTCCATTATGGTCCGCACAGAAGTTGTGACGCACAATGGGTGAGAGTGACAACCCCTGTCAGACAGACAAACATGGACAAATGTCAGACTCAGGGGGTGATTATCAACTGTACCAACTGGAACAGGAAGGTCCGCCCATGCCACGGTGGCCATGGCAGAAATTACCACATTAGCACAGTCCGTATGTCTGTGGTGTCTGTCGCATATAAGTTATGGCGCACGATGGAAGAATGATAAGATCATATGGTATCTCCCAATATTCGCCAAATGTCAGGCTCAGGGGGTATATTACTCCTGTCTATCTGTGGTTATACTTGGGCCATACAGTTCAACAGGTTCAGGGGTGGTCCGCCCTTGCCACCATTGCCACGGCGGAATTTGGAAGATCGATCTTACTCTTTTCTGTGTTCCAATGCATCCGTCACAGAAGATATGACGCACAATGGGTATTAGCAGAGGGTTATTTCTCTCATGAATGTCGGTCATCGTCAAATGTCAGGCTCAGGGTTGGTCCGCCCTTGCCACCGTTGCCACAGCAGAATTTGGAAGAACAGTCCTCCCCCATTGATGTACCCATGTGTATAGGCGGTATACAAAGTGGATATACCACTTGTGCGGTAGTGACATTGTCGTCATTCGCCGCTGGCCCTATGTGGGTATGAATAGATGTATAGCGACATATATCAGTATGTACTTACTATACACTCTACACCTTGTTATATACCCACATCCGCATATACAACGGTGGCATGGGCGGACATCATATAAGACATTACATATATATTAGTGCATTTTTGTGCATTGTATAATCATCATTTTGAATAAATTATTTGTACAATCACCCTCAACTTGAGTTTCAGAGGCCTTAGGGTCAACAAAACCATACATTTAACCGAACCTATTTACAAATAGCCTTTATAAACGCCTGCTGTGGATGTGGTTATGTTTCATGGTGTCTAGAAATAATATAGTGTTCACATATTGGTAGCTGAGATCATGGCAGAACAACACTGAAGAGTTTGCTATGTGGAAATTGAAGACAGGTGAACTCATTGGGAATGACCAGGTTCGAATCCTTGTCCTGCCATATTTCAGTGTTCAAACTGGTTCACCTGTTTCAATTTCCACACCATCAGCTCTGAAGTTTTTTGTCTTGGACGATGAACAAGATAGCAAGGAACCTTTATGAACAATGCTGCATTGCAGACATTCATATTTTAATATTTTATCTTTGTCTGCAACCACTGCTTCCCATAATATTGCTTTCCGTACAAATGAAAAATCATGTTGTAGGCAGGTGCATTGCACTGGCACTCAAGCACCAGTCATTGGGAAGGACCAGGTTCGAATCCTAGTTAGATGGTGTGACGCTTGCAGGGGTGCACCCGCCCCACCAAATAACTAGTCTCCTTCGTTTCACCTTCCTTCCCTTCACTTGACTTGACTTCACTTGACGCTTTCATTTTCTTGTCTATTGCCTCTCCTATCCCTTGACTTCCTGACTTTCGTCTCGCCACAGATTTCATCTTGCCTGGTTTCACTCGTCTCGTTTTCCTCCACTTCCCTTCACTCTTGACCTTACTTCTCTTTTCTCTTATTCCCTATGCATTTCTTCCTTGTCGTCTCTCTTGACTTTCACTTTCCTTCCTCCTCCTATCCTCTCTTTTGCCCTTCACTTTTCCCTTCTTCCTTGACTTTTCCTTCCACCGTCGTCCCCTTCATTGTCGTATGTCTTATGCTGTCGCCTTTGACCTGTCTCTTGACTTTCCCCTCTTTCCTCTGCCAGTCTCCTGCCCTTCCTTCCTTCATTCCCCCCTCTCTTTCCCCTTCATCGTCCTATCTCTTGACTTTTCCTTCCACCCTTGGCTTCAATCCTTATCTCCACTTTGCCTTCACTTCATTTTTCGTTCTTTGATTCCTTCCATCCCTTACCCTTCGCTTGACTTTTCCCCTCGCTCTTTCAATATCCTTCCCTGTTTTCCCTCAAAATCATCCATCACTTTCCCTCATTTCTTCCCCGTAGCTCCCTCAAATCTTGCATAGGACACATTTCCTTGCTACCACCAGGATCCCATCGTCTTTCTCTATCTTTTGTATTTTTTCCATTTTTGGCAAGATTTTCCTGCCCCCTAGGCAAGCATACATAACAGCTTGGCTGCCGAGCCATCACTTGTTGGGTGCTTCGCCATACCCCCTTACCCTGGCGTCCCATGACCTTAGACTGGCACCCCATGACTTAGCCTTACCTATGCAGCTTAGTTTTGCCCGTATCTCGACCAGACGAGGTCATGGAAAAGTCCAGAGACCACGGTCACAATCCCAGAGAAGAGGTCCTTCAGAAAGGTTTTCGCTCCCTATAACGAAATTTCCCCATGGTCAGGTCAAAGCTGACTCATGGTCCCCAGTAACCCAGGATCATATTCCTTGGTGGGCTTGCCTTCCAAAAACTTCGTCTTCAGCCTCCATGCCATGGGTTTGGTGCCGAGGACGACCCACACTCCTCCCTGTCTTAGAATATTAATATTACGTAGGTAGGTAGGTAACTTTATCTTGACTCGCCACCGTTGGTTCGCCTGCTATCCTAGACATCCTCCAGTCATAATATTAATATTATCACATTCACCTTTCTCTCCTGTCATCCAATCATGCAACGAGATCCTTGCCATATTATTTACTGTCAAAGACAAAAAGAATACTTCCCAGCTTGCTGTGTGCAATTGGAAAACCGGTGAACTCATCCTGGTCAGTCAAGACGAACCGGTTTGACCAATGAAATCATCACAGGACCAGGACTCAATCCTAGTCCCTTCATCCATCTGCCATTCCACATGGCAAGCCTTGACCTGTTTTCTTCCATAAATATGATGGCTAGGAACCCGTTGCGTTGCATATATCCAAGCATGCAACAAGTTTCTCGCCATTTTATTTATTCTTCAAGACAGTACTTCCGAGCTTGCTCTGTGGAAATGAAATCATGACAGGACCAGGAATGAAACCTAGTCCTTCCTTCCATATGAGTTCATCCATCTGCCATTCCACATGGCAAGCCGTGAGCCGTTGTCTTCGACGATAAATAAGATGGCAAGTGCCCACTTCCAGCATCGGACGGCTCAGGATCTGCTTAGACCTTTGATCCTGACTTGATCTCAGATTTTGTCTGCCCCTGGGGTAATTGCTGCAGGCAGCGAGCCAAGCCCAGAGAGCCCAACTGATGAAATAAATAACCACCCTGCAGGGAAATGCTGAAATCAGATGCACGGACGTCCTCCTGATCATGACCTCTGTCTACAGGGGCTCTACAGATATCGCATTCATAATTGATGTTGCTTGCCTCGAGTCGTCAGAAAGTGGGAGGTACTCAGCAAGCAAGTTGGTGATCAGGTCCAATCAGCTTGCACTGAGAATGCTCAGGTCCTTACTCCGGCAGGAAATCCATCACGATACTCTGAGAAGCATGATGTGATGACTCTGCCTGCTGGATATATGCACGATCAGCAGTGAAAACAGTTTGAGTAATATAGCAGAAAGTGTGCGTATATGCACCGAGGCTCGTAGTATTCAATAGTTAGGTATGTATTCGCCTGACTATTCTTTGCTAAAACTTACGTTGAGAAGGACCTCGCATTGGCATAGCTTTATTTTCGAACACGCTTCTTCTATAGGATCTAGGTCGGGGGAGTATGGTGAAAGGAACTCAATGTAAACGCCTGAGATAGTGTAAGTTCGACCATCAAACATGTTAAAAAAAAACAGATATATGCGCCAAAACGGTCTGCAAGCTCGAGAATATCAGCAACGTGGTGAATTGAGGCATTATCCATTACAAAAACACTCAATGGCCCAGGGTATGCAGAACCCTCTGGCAACTAGAAGAACATCAGTGTCGTACTTTCCGACTGATCTGAGACTTGAGAACTCACGACTGTAGATTCGAGCCACTCAAGAAAGAGTTCCTTTGTCATAGACCCCTCAACAACAGTACATACAAGCAACAATGCCATTGAGAGTCAGAAACGCCTCCGTGCTGACACGACGCCCACAGACAAATGGTTGTTTCTTGTGTGCCCGTTTTCCTTTTGCTGAACGTCCATAGTGTCGACCAAGTGTCCGCTCATCTTTCGACACCTCATAAATGAAACCAAGCTTTGATGGATCGTATTGAGCCATACGGGCTACGAATGCATCTCGCAGCTCCTCATTTCGTTCTCAAGCAATACGTTTGAGCCTTTTGTGGCTCATACAAGCACGATCAAGCTCATTGAAGATTGTAGTAAAGTGAGCAGAAATGAAACGGTTGGTTCAGGTGAGATCAACGAGGTCATCGAGAAAGTAGTCGGGGTTGTCACGGATAAGTTGCAGAAGATAATCGATGTCTTCACGGTCCAGATGACGGGGACAACCAGGAACGCGTACAAAGTAATAGGAAGTCAGCATCGACAGGACGACATCTTGGAGTCTTTGATCTGTCTGTTCTAAATCTATTGCCTCTTCTGCCTCAAACGTCATGTCAAATGCATCATCAAAGCTTCACCAAAAGCAACAGAAAAGCCATGCGATGCGCGGACTCTGTATTTGCAAAGAGAGAGACTGACCCGACCAGAGAAATAGTCAGAAACGCCCACAAGAAAAGCTAAATTCAGCAAAAGAAAAGCCATGCAATGCGTGGACTCTGCATTTGAAAGGTGTTAGACTGACCTGACCAGAGACATAGTCAGAAACGCCCGCAAGAAAAGCTAAATTCAGCAAAAGAAAAGCCATGCGATGCGTGAACTCTGTATTTGAAAAGGATGACTCGACTGACCTGACAAAAGAACAGCCAAACAGCCATACGATGCATGGACCCTACGTTTGCTAAGGGAGAAATAGACTAGATAAGAGATCAAATCTGCCTTTTCCTACCGAATCTCAGCAACTCGATATTGGGAGTGGTAAGGCTGTACTTACTATAAGACTGCGGACAGAAGTGGTTGGTAGAATCCACAGTGAATGGTTTTCACTTACACATATCATCGGGATAATGGTGGTAGGCGCTGAATGGACTCTGACGGTCTTATTTGAGAGATATTGAAACATATTGTTTGCTGAATTTTTCTTATTCGAGTGGACACCTGCAACAGACATATGATATATGAGCCTCGGCTCAAGATGAAGTCAAAAAATGCGGCGTGATAATCGTCTTGAATCACCTTTGCTGGGTTATATTCATGGACGCATACACAAGCACTACTGACTCGAAGATGGCATTGCTGTTGCTCTGGCGCACCTATGTGGAGCGAGACTGTTCGAGCAGCGAAACCTCGTTGCCTATGAAGAGCACTCTCAGGCTTTTTTCGCCTCCGGACTTTAGTATACCAGTAGCACCTTGTCATGTGTTTTGAGATACTATGACATGGGTCTCTATGCAGAAGTACTTATAAGTTACAGATGTGCGAACGAGCCTTGACCAAGCTCATCAGTCGTAACACGACCATCCCAACAAAGAAGTCCCAGGTCTTCTCAACTGCTGCTGATGGCCAGACGACCATCGAGGTTAAAATCTACCAGGGCGAGCGTGAGCTTGTCAGGGACAACAAAATTCTTGGCAACTTCAAGCTTGTTGGCATTCCCCCTGCTCCCAAGGGTGTTCCTCAAATCGAGATCACCTTCGACATCGATGCTGACGGTATTGTCAATGTACCTGCCAAGGACAAGGCTACCAACAAGGACCAGTCTATGACTATCGCCTCGTCTTCGGTCTCAGTGACAAGGATATTGAACGCATGGGTTCAGATGCCGAGCAGTTCGCCGAATCCGACAAGGCTCGTCGTGATCTCATTGAGGAAAGCAATAAAGGCGAGTCCGTCTGCTCTGACACCGAGAAAGGTACGATTTATTTCTTGATTCCCGCATTCCGCTAATATGCGAGCCTATAGCCATGAATGAGTTCAAGGACCCGCTCGACGCCACCGAAAAGGAGAAGGTGACCAAGCTTGTTACTGAGCTCCGCGAACTTGCTGCTAAGGGTCAGCCTGGCGATGGCGCTGTTACCTCTGAGCAGATCCGGGAGAAGATCAACGAGACTCGTTGATCGGATGCATCACTTCCCCTTTAGCTTTAGACAACCGAAGCATGGTAGGTCGATGAGGTCTAGGTCCCCAAAATTGCATTCGCAGGAGGCATGCCCGGGTCCGTGATGTCCTTTTGCTAGAATTGGCGCTTACAAGGAATATTTGGTAGAGAACGGCGGTTGTGCTGCTGACAAGAGCCGGACGGGAATTCTTTGACATTTGTACGATTTTGTTCCCAAGACCCATGGAAATCAGAATCCCCGAGGGATGCCACTGGAATCATTGGCCATACGACATCATAGCACGTCGTTCCAAGTAATCAACGGTAGACAGCCATACAGGCTAGACCACTACAAAGGTTGATGGTACCTGACAAAGGAAGAAATATTAGGAAGGCGACTTGACGTCGCCGATCATTTGCTCTCTAAACATAGTCAGGCAACAGGCGGTCACATTTGGGTGTACAAACAGTAGATGGAGATATATGGACTATTGAAGAGGATTGTTGCTGTCTACTACTGAGCTAAGAAAGGATGTGCAATCTCCTCTGAGCCGTTGGCAGGACTGAGGAGGGTAATGGTGGGTCCCCGAAGGACTATGAGGTTCAGCAAGCGGCTGTGAGGTTCCGGCCCTGGGGACTTACGGTTTCTTTCCACCAATCATGGTATGCTGGTGTTAAGGTTCCCGTCCTAGCCGATATGTACATAATATCCAAGAAGATACCACTGAGTAAATACACTGCATACCGCATTGCATGTAATGTATATGCCACACATCATCGTAAAAATGAAAGACACATAAAGATGATGAACAATAAGATAGCACTGATCCACCTAATGTCGGTTTCAGTGGGGGAGGGGAGGGAGGGGAGAACGTTCACATCGGTGGCGAATGGTTTTATCGAACATTCTGTGCTGAGTACTGTAGAAATAATTGTAAGCATTGGAAACTGGGGACAATCAATCCACAAACTTGTAAAAACATGATCGCACACAACACAATATTTGTCACACTATCAGCCATCAACCCATTCACATCGATTGGCGGTTTGTCGCGTTCCATCATCGTCGACGCAATAGGTAAGCATGATTGTTGTGGACGACCGCTATGAAACTCTTAGTGTTTTCCTCGGTGACCTCATAGTTCATTGTCGATTTCGCTGACATCAAGCAGTTAAATTCCACATTTCCTGACGAAATAGGTAAGCATGGCGTTCGCTGACCGAATCTCAGTGTTTTTGATCGCTGACCTGAAAGTTCATCAATAGCCATTGATATCGAATCGTTAGTTAACGCCGTTTGTTCACCTTGCAATGAATACTGATTCATGGACGTTCATGGTTCATTGATCATTAGATGCCGTCAACTGGTGGAAGACCTCCAAACAGACAGAGAGGAGTGAATGAAACCGTTGAGCTCCACACGCCAGGCAAGTCCTGAAGTCATTTCGGTGCATAGAGTGGGGTTGACTTACCAGTGACCGGTGGCGCATATATTACAGAATTTTTATCTCGTCTCGAGGGCCTCATTGAGGGGTCATATGAACCCTCTCGAGATAGGTTCAACGCCGACGACGATGGTGACCACACAACACAGGCGGTCAACATGCGCGTCAGACGGCGAATCGGCATTTTATCCAACGGTTTGCACGAAATGATGTCTGACGCATTCGACATGTTTGATCTTGCGGGCGGGAGCGTCGACCAGATCAACGCGGACGAATACGACGTTGAGTTTACATCGGAGAGCACGATAGAAACCAGGCGAAATCAGCGACGTGAGGCGTTGTATACCAGGATGCAAAACGCTAGACTAAGATCTCGAAACATCTGGGCAATAGTACGGTTAGCTAAGGAAATCAAGGAGGAGGCGGCAAAGGTGGTTGATGAGTCCTCAGCATGGGATGACGATATGGCTGAGGGTCGTGATGCCTATGTATGCGAGCGGATGAGACGTATCACAGCCTGTCAGAACAAAGCCAAGATCGCAGCGGTTAGCATCCTGAAACATTGGCCAACACATTGGCCAGCAATTGGAGGGACGCAGGTTCAGTGGATGACGAAGAGAGGGGAAAAGAGGCAGGAGGGTGTGTGGCAGATTATCGATATGTGCCGCCGCTCATTGGAGGAGCTGGAGGAGATCATCCTCCATTCAGCGGACTGGTAAAGGTTGTGTGATTGTGGTTTGGTTGGTTGGTTGGTTGGTTCATAATTGCTTAGGGGGAATGAATGTGTAATTGTTTTTACATTAGATTTACTGTGGTGGGGTCATTGACCCTATGTTGGAGGTGTTTCATCATGTGCATCTTGTTCTTTATGGGCCAAGGCAGGTGTGTATGTGCTGGCGCTGTGTATGAAACTGACACATACTGTGATTGTTTAACACCACTGAGATAGTTTGCAACCAGCTTACTTATACACATATATATTGCCTCAAAATGGTGTCTTCACTGGTGACATTTCATCAACACTATATTCATACATTCAGCAAGTAACAATTGAAAAACAGAACGGAGAACCAGAGAACACAAATAAACTCATTCCTACATGAGAAGATGTAGCAGCACAATACAGATAACTCCTCACAAGTGTTAAAGCAAATGAATTAATACTCCAAGACAGAGAGGACACCACCTTTGTTCAGGAAGGGCTGATAGAGTCATAGGAGGTCAGCAATTATTCTATTGACGACAAGGGGTTGGTCTTACAGTACTTGTTAATATTGATAGTTCTGAAGAACAGCTACCTCCGCATGATCATCTCAAATCTGCCCAAGACACTTATTGATGTGGTCCGGCAATCCACTGTGCAGGACAGTTAGTTATGAAGGCTACAGTAAAAAAGTCTACTTTCAGATCAGGAGTGACATGGCAAACAGTCAGCACTTAGACAATGAACACCCATTCTGTAGGATGAGACCACACCTATATGCGAGACAAATAGTCATGACAGCTACAGTAAGAAATTTTACCTTCAAGGGCAGCAGCCATGCGCTTGACTGCTGAGACTTGGTGAAAGAAGACAACAACCTCAGCCTTAGGGCCAGATACAATACTCTGCCCTGTCCAGTCCATAGGGAGAGCCGCCCCGCTTGTCTAAGCAGTCGTGTGGTAGACGGTGGGACTGGAAAAACGAGCACCAATTCTATGAAATGATAGGACGGCCCCAACAACAAATCCACCCCAGCCTTTAGGTCAGATACTCTACCCTGTGAAGGGCAGATGGAGAGCCGCCCCGCCTACCACAACTCTGGCCAAAGCCAGACTAGCATCCTCATATGAGGATTCGTGTGATGGACGGTGGGACTGGCAAAACGAGCACCAGTTCTGTAAAATGATATAGGCCGGCCCCAAACGACAACTCCACCCCAGCCATAAGGCCAGATACTCTTGCCCTGTAAAGAACAGAGGGAGAGCCGCCCCGCCTACCACAACTCTGGCCAAAGCCAGACTCGGTTCCTCGTATGAGGAGTCGCGTGATGAACGGTTGGGACTAACAAAACGAGCACCAGTTTTGTAAAATGATATAGGACGGTCCCAACGACAACTCCACCCCAGCCGTAAGGCCAGATACTCTTGCCCTGTAAAGGGCAGAGGGAGAGCCGCCCCGCCTACCACAACTCTGGCCAAAGCCAGACTCGGTTCCTCGTATGAGGAGTCGTGTGATGGACGGTTGGGACTGGCAAAACAAGCACCAATTCTACGAGATGATAGGACGGCCCCAACGACAACTCCACCCCAGCCTTAAGGCCAGATACTCTTGCCCTGTAAAGGGCAGAGGGAGAGCCGCCCCGCCTACCACAACTCTGGCCAAAGCCAGACTCGGTTCCTCGTATGAGGAGTCGTGTGATGGACGGTTGGGACTGGCAAAACAAGCACCAATTCTACGAGATGATAGGACGGCCCCAACGACAACTCCACCCCAGCCTTAAGGCCAGATACTCTTGCCCTGTAAAGGGCAGAGGGAGAGCCGCCCCGCCTACCACAACTCTGGCCAAAGCCAGACTCGGTTCCTCGTATGAGGAGTCGTGTGATGGACGGTTGGGACTGGCAAAACAAGCACCAATTCTACGAGATGATAGGACGGCCCCAACGACAACTCCACCCCAGCCTTAAGGCCAGATACTCTTGCCCTGTAAAGGGCAGAGGGAGAGCCGCCCCGCCTACCACAACTCTGGCCAAAGCCAGACTCGCATCCTCGTATGAGGATTCGTGTGATGGACGGTTGGGACTGGCAAAACGAGCACCAGTTCTGTAAAATGATATAGGACGGTCCCAACGACAACTCCACCCCAGCCATAAGGCCAGATACTCTTGCCCTGTAAAGGGCAGAGGGAGAGCCGCCCCGCCTACCACAACTCTGGCCAAAGCCAGACTCGGTTCCTTGTATGAGGAGTCGTGTGATCGACAGTTGGGACGGGCAAAACGAGCACCAATTCTATGAGATGATAGGCCGGCCCCAACGACAAATCCACCCCAGCCGTAAGGCCAGATACTCTTGCCCTGTAAAGGGCAGAGGGAGAGCCGCCCCGCCTACCACAACTCTGGCCAAAGCCAGACTCGCATCCTCGTATGAGGAGTCGTGTGATAGACGGTTGGGAGATGTGTAGGAAAAGGTCAATACCCCCAGAACCCACCAAGGCGTCAGTCCACTGAGATGGACATGCAAAGCCAAGAAAGAAAGAAAAAAGAAACAAAGGCGTCAGTCCACTTAAGAGGACATGCAAAGCCAAGACGAAAGATAAAAGAAACAACGGCGTCAGTCCACTTGAGAGGACATGCAAAGCCAAGACGAAAGATAAAAGAAACAACGGCGTCAGTCCACTTGAGAGGACATGCAAAGCCAAGACAAAAAATAAAAGAAACAACGGCGTCAGTCCACTTGAGAGGACATGCAAAGCCAAGACAAAAAATAAAAGAAACAACGGCGTCAGTCCACTTGAGAGGACATGCAAAGCCAAGACAAAAAATAAAAGAAACAACGGCGTCAGTCCACTTGAGAGGACATGCAAAGCCAAGACAAAAAATAAAAGAAACAACGGCGTCAGTCCACTTGAGAGGACATGCAAAGCCAAGACAAAAAATAAAAGAAACAACGGCGTCAGTCCACTTAAGAGGACATGCAAAGCCAGGAGAGAAGAGAGCACAAATTAAGATTTGAAAAAAGAACTCACTTTGGTACCGCCCCGCTAGAGGCACCTTCCATTATGGGAATGGGGGGCGCTAAGAGGTCAGGACGGAAAAGGAAAGGTTAATTGAGGGAGGGACATGTGGAGGAATGGAAGAAGGAAATGTGAGTGCATAAAGCCGTCCTCTCATTGGAGGGACGCGGTGGGTGGTTGGAAAGGGAGGAACAAATAGGAAAGAAAGAATGAGACGAACAAAAAAATGAACCACGACCAAATACAAACAAATACAACAAATACAAATAAACAAACGCGACGCGTCAGTGAAACAAACCAAAGTCACAATGATCACGTGATCTGTGACCAATGCACAGGACGCGCCTCAGCATTTGAGACGCCC